AAAGGAATTTACTGGTAAACATATAATAACAAGAAAGTGATAACGTTTAATATCATTTTACAAATTCATTAAAAAAGCATGACCAACTCTCGGACCACGTCTCTGAGTCTTAATACGTATTTGCCTAGGCATCCAGATGCGCACAACGCGAAGAATGAGGCTACCCAGTGCATGGATGAATAGAACTGACAGTATAATAGCTTAATTAAGCTCAAGTGATCTCTATCTGTCTCTTAGGCATGCTCGCTGGCAGATAGATGGTGCGCTTATAAGTCGTGTTGTCCTATTGTAACAAATGATGCTCCCCTAAACACTCACTGACTATGCTCACCTCCCATAATTGCTGTCCATTTGCAGCTCGTCCTTGCTTATGCACCTAATCAAAAGTTCCGATGTTCCAATTCTATGCGGACCGGAATTCAGAACCTTCTGAGCCGCGCTTGCTTTGGCAAAGTACACGAATCCAAAGCCAAGCGATGCTCGCGAAACATTCCGCTTGAAAACAAAGACACGTTCAATCTTGCCAAACTTGCAAAAATACTCCATCAAATGAGCCCGCGTGACTTCCGGTCTCAGGTGTCCAACGTAGACGCATCGTATTGTTTCATCCGTCACGGTGATATCGGACGAAATAGGAGGATTCCCATTTTTGTTGAGAACTACGTTCGAGGCTTCGAATTCCTCAGTGATAGGGGGACAGGGTTTACTGAAAGGAAACATACACAGAGCGTCAAGGAGTCCTCTAGGCAATGGACGAAATACTGCTCTTCCTGATAGCTTCGAGATACTACGCAAACATATGAGAAGAACACGTTCACTAATAATCAGATCTTTCTTTTATAGCAACAGATAAATATATTTGATTATGAAATAAATCGGGCAAGGCGTTGTTAGTAGTGATCGCAATGCGACCTATGATAGTGTTGGAGCGAATAATTATCTAGAGTCTGCTTGTGAGTTACCTGTTAACAATGTCACCTACAGGTTCCCACTTAACTTCCTCAGCGTCAACATGCCTAGGAAATAAAGGATACTGTCCTCCTCCTCATTAAAAATTGGAAGGAGATGAGCGTCCGGACAAAGGAAAAGTTACCTGAACCATGATTATTTCATATCTTTGCATGTAACACGAGCAATTCTCCTTCAAAAGTATACATGCAAGTGGGCAAGTTATCGAACCAGGATAAGTTACTATAACATCGACAGAACTTGGGACTTCACATGAGATGCAGAAAAAATTTCAAATGCATCAGCGCGAAACCCCATGACTTACTTGGTTTTAGGTGTCGAGGGCGTATGCGTAGACGTATTTCTGTGCTTTGTTTGAAATTTCTCAACAGTCACTACATCGCCACAGACCTCAACATTGCGTTCGGCCAGAACTGCCTGGACAGGACCAGGTGAATCGAAGGTAACAAAACCACAGCGTCTGGAGCTGCCAGTCTGCCTATTCATAATCACCTTCGCATCCACGACCCTGCCAAATCGGGAGAATTGGTTCTGGAGGCCCTGCGAAGTGACACTGGGTTTGAAGCCAGCGACGAATATTTTTCGAGAATCAAATGAAGCCGCAGGCGGGGACGCAACTCTGTGGACGGGAGGAGCCTGTCTCACCGCCTGCTCTGCCGTCGGTGATATAGGATCCAGCGACTCCTTGGGAGTTCCCTTGGCACGATTATCTCGTCCAGGTCTAAAAAGGGGAATTGTGTGCTTTACTGAAGGGATAATTCGGAGTCCTCAAACAATCCAGTGTGTGGTTTTGTAGAGTGGTCAATTGGTGGACCGAGAGACTGGTTGTAGATTCTCCTTCATAATCTGCCCACTATGACATTCCCCCTTGGTGGGGTTTGTGGTGGACGGCCGCAATGCCTGTTCTCCCCTCCCTTCATTTTCCAAGGCTCGCGTCCCCAAAATCATGCATTATCCCAAACCGCTGTTCAAATGCTTTCTCTCACTGACACCCCCGTCCACCGAGGCTTGACCTCGCAGCTGTTTCTGACTAACCGATAACAGCTGCACCAGCGTCCCCTGTCCTTTGGCGTTCTGGCGACCCACACAGTTTACCTCAGCTTCTTCAGTC